TAAAGAAAAAAAAGGAAAAACTAATATGTGAATAAAAAAGGAAGAAAAAAATTACATGACGTAAACATGATGATAAGCCATGGTAGGACTCGCCAATCCCTATTCGGCGCTGCAAGCGCCGGTTCAGGCCATTTCCGTAGTTAGTGGCTGGCCCATATACGTTCTGTCTTTTTTCTTTGTTTTTTCATCTTTTTCGTTTCTCTTTCCTTTCCGGTTTCCATTTTTGTTTTGTTTCTTTTATTTTTTCTGAACAATTTTCAAATTTGTGGATTTTCCCCCAAATTCATGAACTTCTTAAAATCCGTGAATGTTTTAGTGCATGAACTTTTAAAATAAATAGTGAAACATGAACTTTTAGGTCAGGATTTTCTTTTCAAATTCACGTCTTTTTCAATTTCCATAATATATTTTTTAAAATTATGACCTTTTCAAATTCCACGAGCTTTTTAATTCATGAACTTTTTCCAAATATATGAAGTTTGTCATCATGAACTTTTCTAAAAAGTAATGAAAATTTTCCATTTCCGCGAACTTTCTATAGTTGTATAAACCTATTCAAATTCATCAACTTTTTTCAAGTTCATGAGTTTTTTTACAATTTTTTGTGAATCCCTTTTTTAAAACTTCTTTTTAATTTTTGTATGATTCATTAGTGAACTAATAATAATAACAATAAAAAGAACTAAAAACAAAATTCTTAGTAAATCCGCACGTCCTAGATTCAGTGACCACCACAAACCCAGTTGTGCGTCAACCCTGTGCGTCGAGCTGCTGTATGACGCAAAATGCGTCACATAGGAGGTCCCGTAAGACACTGTAGGACCGGTTCGGAAGTCAGTCATGAAATGGGCCGTGAACGGAGAGATTTTGGACTACAACACTGCCAACCCATTTATTTATTGTCATATTCCTCAAAAGAAATTGTCATACCACTCAATTTTATTTATTTATTGTCACCGTTGCAGTTACTAATCTTCTAGTGCACGTCTAGCCTCCTTTCTCACCGGCTAAATCCAACTCCGGCCAGATCGGCCACTCATCTGCAGTCCATTAAGAGAAACCAGATCGACGGTGCTCTTCCACTACCCGATGTCTACCTCTTCCTCATCTGCCGTTGCCAGTGATTCCCTGCCAGGATTGCGGCGAGCAGATCAAAGCTAGTACCCAATTTTGAAACAATCAAATTGTCTTCAGGATTTTCGGCAAAACCGCAAATCGCCTTCTCGAGTGCATTAGCTCGATTAGGACACAACATCCTGCCTGATGCGGCAGCACCAATCCTCACTCTGCAAAATAATCCATGTAAACAACGAGTGTCAGGTATAGTATATATCACATAAACACCACAAGTCATTCTACAACCAAAAAATTGAATACTCTGTTGCGCCGCATAACAGTTTACTCAGGATGCATTGCTACAGCCATGCAGTTCAGATCACGCAACAGATTTTAACAAATGTACGGGCTAATTTATTAATTTGTCCATTCTTTTCATACTTAAGGCTTAGAATCAGACACCAGACAACAATCAGGATCAACAAGAGCACAAACTTCTATACTAAATCTGACACTTTCTTTACTCAGGGGTAGACTATGTCCATAGTTCACAGCAAACAAGACTGATTCCTACAATTTTGGTGGGTCGAACACAGCACGTTCCTGGTTGCTACAATTTTCCACTTACATATGAAATCATTCAAAAAATCACCACTCATATACTGTCTCGCTTTTACATATGAATAGCCCAATGTGTCCCTACAAATTGCACATCTGCATAATGCCATACCTTCGCGTCCACCCCAGGAGCTTTCGGGTCGTCCTGCTTAATCGGCTGCTCAGATCCTTGCAGCGAATGCATTCGTCGCCGCCTCCGCCGGACAGATCTCCCCGTCGGCACTCACTTTCCTCATGGGCGCCAGCTGTTCCATAACCAGTGCGACGACTGGGTAGTGCAGAGGCTCCATCGGAGCTCTCAGTCACCTCTTTCAGCATGGTTGTACTGCATAACAAAATTGGCAAAACGTAAGATCCATATCAGGGTACACTATCAAAATCACTCGGAACACATAAAAATTGGTCATATTCGAGCACTCTAATTGGCTGCATCAAAAACTCCATCTTCAGTGCCTACCTTCTTGTTTCCTACAAAAGTTTGTCCGCCGAGGCCACCGCTCTCCCTGGAAGGATCCACGCGCCTGAGGTAGGAGATAATTGTATCCTGCACCCCATCCGTGCATTAACTCGGTTGCTGTCGCAATTCACGGAAAGCAAGTTTCCGGATCCACGGACCGGCATGGACGTTGATGCCCCGAGCCACGGCTCTGCTTCACTGGTTTCAGCCTTCGAGCCATATTAGAGTACCCTTGGTTCGTTTGGGCTTTCAGGTCATTAATCTCTTTAAACTTGCATTCTTTCACAGAAATGGCCTGATGTTCCATTGTCTTCTCTTTCCTTGCAAACTAAAATATCAGTTTTTTTTAAGATAAGATGTAACATAAAAAAACACAATACCGTAACACGAGAAGGGGAATACAGTCAATACACAATCACATAATTCTCACATAACACCATCACATAATTTCTCTAGATACTATTAAAAAATAACCTACAATATATTAATCCAAAAGGCAAAAACATGCTAAGGGAGGAAAGAGAGTCTTGATACATTTGGAGGTGTGGTACCTTTTCTTTTTCTTGCAAACATTAATTGCCTCTCTTGATTTGGGTGATACAGATGAACTCGCAACCTGTTTCCTTTCCAAGAAGTCTGCAAGTTTTTGAACATATACTATGAAGTACTTCGGAGGAGTATTGATCTGTATATTTACTATGAAGGACACCATTAGAGTAGCAGAGATGTAATTACCAGGTAATGCCCTGTTTTAAAAAGACGAAAATTATATGTTGAAAAAAAAAGTCAAAACATTGCTAGAGCAGGAAGTAGTTTCTGTTACGTGGGGAAATCATAATGGAAGGCGCAAGGCAGCAGGGGCAGGTTATGCTGTGGCTAGACAAGGGCAGTTCGATGTCGTAGAAGGATGCATCTGTTTTGGTAGACTCCTGATTCTATTAAGGTAGTATTTGAGTCAGATTCCTATTAGAGTCCGAAGTATGTCAAAGTGGTACTAGTCCATGTCCTATATAAAGGACCTACCCGTGTAATCTTAGAGCATCTCCAATAGAAGATGCAAATTTGGAGATGTAAAAATGTACATCTCCAAAAAGTGCTTTTTGCCTCTCCAGAAAGGCCCACTCCAACAGATGATGCAAAAAGGAGATGTAAAAGAGCAACACCAATAGAAGATGCAAATGAAGATGTAAAATTGTACTTCAACTAGTACTCAGACGGTGACGGTGGGCGAGGAGGCGGGGCGGGGCGGCGGTGCGGGGCTGCGGGCGGATTGAGTGGCGGCGGTGCGGGGATGCGGCCGGTAATGTGGGCGGG